GAAAGTGTTATCCAAATGGCTAGTCTGAAATGGCTGGCTGATTCACTTACACTTGCTAACTTATTTACCAGTAAAGAAGTCTATCTGCCAACCTCTGACCTTGGAACAGGAAAGAAAGTCTTATTCTCATCATCTGCTTTTGGCAAAAACTAAAGGTCAGTTCATACTACAAGTAAATGGATATGCAGGTTTCCAGCTCTGCTATGTTTTAGAGCTAATCCTTCAAGCACTCACTATGGCACCTGCTATTGGAAGGATCCGAGGAAAACAATTGGAAAGAAAAATGAAGCTGAAGGCTAGTGATAAGATCTGGAACCTCAGATACCAGTCATCAACTCAGACAATTTAACCAAAACAGTTGGGCAAAACCCTAAAACCAGCTCCAACTAACTAAAGATGGTGGCCTCTTACTTAAAGTGAGTTCTTCCCATGAGTTTCCACATTCCAGCTGTGTATTCTAACTTACACCGTAAATGGCTTATTTAATAGAAGCCATCACAATCTAAAGACGTGGGGTTTTTGTTAGAATATTAAAGAGTGAGTGTCAAATGTCACCCAATACTCACCATCTAAGATACTCCTTCCTACACTGGTACAGTGCACCGTGCTTTCTTGGCCATTGTGGTTTTCTCTGCGGGAGGGAATGATTCCCTGGACATAGAAGCAATAGTTCTTCCCACTGTCAATGCTTACTTCAAAATTACGGCTTTTTGTCGTTACATCTTTCTGTAAAGGAAAAAATATTTCAAGTGTCAGCTCTTAAGGTAGCACAGAAATTCTATAACTATACAGAATATAACAATTATAACAGGACAAAAACTAGAGTTAGACCTTACCTTTCCAGAACTTTGATCTTTCCAGTAATAGAGTTTGTATTCCAGGTCATGCTGGAAAATATCTTGAATGCTTTGAAAGCTTCCATTAGGAAATACATATGGTGTAAGTGGATCTTGGAACACGACATTCAGTTTGGAACCTTCTTGTGAATAATCCTTTATCTCTGGTTTTCCAATAACAGCTAAACAAAGATTTTTAGAATTAAAAAATTGACATAATTTTTTTTCTCTTTTTCCTTCCTCTCTCCATTACTTTCCCTCCTCAAATCTATTACAAGTTTATGAAGCCAGCGAAGGCCTAGATTGTAAACAAGTATCTTCACCTAGTACATAATATTAACTTAGTGGTCTACTGAGTGCAGTGAAAAACAAATGGTAACAACAGGGAGAGCTTTATGCCTGAATATCTTCTTCCCCATTATCAGCAGGGCTACTGTAAGAACCTATTAAAACCCCTTTAAACTCAATCTAAACCTTGTCTAAATCAACAGAAATAATCTTGAAAATAAATCTATAATAATATTTAATTGGCAAACTTACTCTGACTATAAGGTGTAAATTTTTCAGAGACTGCAAAAGGTGGCTCTTCTAAGTTATCCATCTCTGCGGGCATTACAGACAGTATGTGTGCTGTGTAGGTCTCCTTTACATTCCTGAGTGCATCAGTAACATCACACTCTGTTTCTGATATCAGTATGCATTTTCTCTTTACGTCAGATGTCCGTCTGAAAAGATCAAGAAAGAAGTGTCAACACTTTCAAACCAGACACATATAAAGTATATATTTTGATATGTTGAAAAACATTTTTCCCTCAAACTGTATAGATTTCCCTCATCCAGTAGAACAGTCTTGCAGGTATTGGGCTAAAAGGAGAAGAGAAAACCTCAAAAGCCACTATCCTATACAGCTGCATTTCACAATTCAAAGCAGAATCAAGTATGATTGATATTAATTACAGAAATATGCTATAGTACACATATATGAATTAAAAATTAAATTTTTTACATGAATTTAATAGAAACCATAACTAGTTCTGATTTTGTGTTTTTCTGCAGTTGCAGAATGTATTTTTAAAATACAAGATGCATAAATCAGTTTGAAGGTGTTATCCTTGATGCATTTGAAAACTTTTGCCTTAAGAAACATCAGTTTTTATAAGAAGCTCTACTGACACTGATTGTTTAATGTGACAGCGTCTCCATGTAGAGATAATTTGGTTTTGCATCTATGCAAATACCATTAAGAACCAGACAGTAGTAGCAAATTTCGATGCAGAATTACGATTTAAAAACACTGACAAAAAGCAGGACCCGTGCACTTCTCTTGATTTTTAAATGATAGAAAGCAGGTCCATTTACTTGCCAAGTAGCAACGAGACTATGAAAAAAGTGCTAATTTCTCATTTTACTTCCTCACAAGAAGGAACAAAAAAAACCAGATTAGATATTACTCCTTCAATTCTTTTCCCTCTTTTTGTTGGTGAATTAAGGAGAGCAAAAATTGTGCGATCTCAGCCGGAAGAGTGAGTGATGACTGAATGTTAACAAATAGGCTGATTTTCCTCAAAGTAGATCAAGTTTCAAGTTTTAGAGTCACCTGAACTCCCTTCTCACTTCATCAGATTTCTTTTGTCACAGATCAGCCAGGGACACTACCACAAAAGATGCACGGAAAAGGGACAGAGGTTCGATCTTTGCGATGAAACAAATGTGCTTTGTAAATATACATACACAAGAAAGCAAACATTTAATCCCACTTCCTCCAGAAGAGCAACTTCAGACAAAAGACGTGCCTCTGCTGCAGACCTACACCTGATTCTATACTGAATCTTGGGCAAACAGATTTCAATTTCTTGCAAGCAAAATCTCTGGAAAGAAACTCCAGATTCAAAATGTAATAAAATTCGTTCTGCTAAGTATGTGCTCTTAAGTCTATTAATCTAATCACTCTCTTAAAGAATGAAAAAGCACATTAAGCCATTACACTGGTATTTCACCAGTTAGTCATGGAAAACACTAATTTTTATGCCACTTTTAGAAAGAGTAGAGACTACATTACCACTTTTTCACTAATACGTAGGAAGTTTGATGATGTGTTTTCCCTTCAGGGCATGTTTAATAATGGTCTGTGTATTAAAATGGGAGCTAAAAGCATTTAGCACAGATTTATTACTGAACGTCATGGAAGGTTTTGTGCAGTTCTGAAGGAAGCATTAGGCACTTCACATAAGCTGGCTACATTTTATGTCCACAGTATTTTACAGCTTACATAAAACATTATATCAGAGGAAGTCTTGACAGAGGTAGATGAACGAAGGTAATTTTTAGTATTACCCAGCAAGACAAAATTATTAATTGCTGTGATTCACCAATTAGAATAAAATGCAGACTCATTTATTAGACGCCTCCCAAGACTGAAGACACAAGTCCAGACACTTTTAAAGACATAAAAAGGTGAAGTTCTGTCTAATACGTGGTATGTATCAACTCTTTCAAAGTATCCTGGCTGGGTCTCTTGAGCAGCACCAAACCTGAGAACTGAAATACTGACCTAAACTCATCTCTCCATTTCGGAAGTGGGCAAAAACAGAAGTCTAAACCTGAAGAAGTATTAATACCAGAAACATTAACACCAGAAGTATTAACACCTGGGATGGCAATTTTCCTAAATCCTAATGTTTGGGCACCTTTTCTGTTACATTAACTTTCAGAAATATTCAAACATGCTCTCTTTCCATTTTCTTCAACTGACATTAATGAACATATCATGGTGTTATCTACTTACCCATGTATTTCTACAGTATAGAAGTAGTCTGATGGTTTTGGTTGCCACTGTAATATAGTTTTAAAATTGATTGAAGACCAAGTTATATTGACTGCTGTTGGTAGTTCTTCATAGCCTTTAAATACAGAGAAGAAAAGAGTGCCATCAGTCATATTATATATAATTCCTGTTTCCCTGCAGTCATTGTTCAGTTAAATGAAGCAGTTGCCGTTAATTGCAACTCGGAAACGTTTTCTTGGGGAAAAGGGCTCAGTCCTGCCCTTATGAAAGGACTGCTCATCTTACTAAAGGAACGTGTCCCGGCAGAAGTGAAAAATGAGAAGAAAATTTTTTTCTGTCTTGTAACTCCGAAATTGATGAGTTAATTTGGAGTTGTGTTTAATGCTTCCTTTTTGATCCAAGACCTCCGCAGAAGATACAAAAGCTTGAACATGCACGAGAATGTTCAAGCGCTGAACAAAAGAGGCATAGTTCAAAATCATCCCTAGTTGTATCTGCTGCAGAAAGCGTTAGCTCCCGGATTCCCGTTTACATATTTTGGAAAGATGAAGTCTTTTTAAAAATCAGTGGTTACCCTACAAACCTACAATATCTGAGAGGGATGAACTCGAGTTCCTCTCAAGCAGACGGGAGGCCAGCCACATCTGCTTCGGGGAAATGCCCGGGACCAAGCCGGATGGGAAAACCCCTCGCAACCCTGTAACCTCTGGAAATCCCTCACCGTTCACATTCTCTATCTCTCCGACAAGCTCGGAGTGGGGAGCAAGGGAAGGAAATCTCGCTGCCGACCCCCGAGGCCGCCCCGCTCCCCAGCACGGCCGCGGCCAGCGAGTGACCCGCACAGTGCCCAGCCTGAGCGCGGCTGCAGCAGAGTCTGCCAATGTCGCTGTCCCCGTCCCGCCAGCGCGGCTCTCCCCCGTCCTGGGGCTCCGAGGGACCGATCCCCGGCTCCGATCCCTCCCATCCCGCGGCCGTCACTCACCGGCGGCGGCCAGGCGCCACAGCAGCGCGGTGAGCAGCAGCGCCGGTGCCGGCAGCATCCTGGGCGCGGTGAGGGAGCTGCAGCGAGCGGCCTCCGCAGGCATTTATGGAGCAGGGCGGCAGAGGCGGGACTGAGGCCTCGCCCCGGAGCCGCCCCAGCGGGGGCGAGGGGACGGAGCACGGCGGAAGCGCTGGGACACCGCCGGGTTGAGCAAGCACAGCGGGGGGATATTCGAGGGAAGGGAGGGAGGCGCCCTGAGGGACGGGGGAGGGAGGGGCCCTGAGGGACGGGTGGACGGACGGACGTGTCCCGCGGGCTCCGGCCCCGCCGCCCCGTCCCGCGGCGCAGGCCGAGCTGGACGTGAGGGGGCACCTGGACATGCCTGCGGTCCGTGTTCCCCTGCGGGTTTGGTGTCATCAGGCACTGGTACCAGCCCTCCCATCTCTTCTTGGCATACTGGTGAAACTGGACACCTCTGATAGCCAGCGTCATCCGCTGCAAACCTTTAGCTGGCTGTCCAGGGACACCCCAGCTCGGAAATGGTTGCCCTGTGGGGAAGCTGGTCATGCAGAAGAGATGTTGGGTTAAGTAACTGATCCCGCACATTCTGAAGGGCTGAATGTCAGTCCTTGCCTCAGCACACAGGACACTGGACACAGCTCTCAGCTAAAGCCCATCCTCTATCCCCTCACACCGTGCGTAGTGAACTCTGCCAGGGCTCATCGGTCACATAGACAAAGTAAGCTTCAGGTGTTCAGAGCTTTGTACCTCACCTCTCCTATAAACCAGGGGCCGTTAACCCTTTTCCTACAAGGTGACATTGGAAAGGTATGCCACTTTAGAGGAGCGGGGGATCTGTTTCTGACAGAAGGTTTCCGAATCTCGGCCTTGGCGATCGCGGTGTCCCCTCAGGCCTCTCCCAGGCAGGGGCTGTGGCTCCCCGTCATGCTCAGGCTCCAGAGGGAGCTGCGCTCGCAGGAGCTCGGGACTGCCGCAGGTAGGTGGAAACAGACCATGCAGCAGAACCTGTGTCATAATTCAGGGGAACATATGCGTTTATAGACTTAGACTGACTCTTCTTTTTATGTTGGTGCTGACTTCGTACAATGTACGTGGAACATGTAGGTAAGAGAAAAAGACTAATGGAGAAGTTGCATATTTAATTACCTTTAATTTTCATGGTTGACACATACTTGTCTGCAAACAATCAGTTCTTTCTCATAATGCAAAATAAATGCGTTTGGAACAAACTACAATACACATTCAACCAGAGTCTGCATCAGAATTCATATAATTCTAGGGTATAATTCAAATTTAAGCACTGTCTGTATGTAGTTGTATGCTAACATTACAGCAGCCAAAAATATTGCCTGCTTTTAACTTGGTGTGGAATACAGATCTTGTGTGTCTAGCTTTTCAAGATGGTGACCTTATAAGATCACAGTTGATTTTCAAAGAACTTTAAAAAGAGAAACAGTATGCACATGTTTAAAGAAAGGGATGATTATATAAAACTTTAAAACCACCTTTAGACTTTAATTCCACTTAATTTCGTGTAGTTAAATCACAAAAGATGGAAAGTGAGTGAGCAGTGATTTCCAGTTTTTATGCAGGTAAAATCGGGATCTCCTTCTCCTGCCCATTCCTTCTTGTTCACATCTCTTCTGTCAAGAGCTTCCACACTTGATATAGGTGAGGAACCATCCAGACTTTGTCCAGACTAATCAGTGTGGCCATTGCTACCTTATTCCAGTTTCCAGCAAGGTGTTTCAGTGTTCACTGACACCAGGCTCTTAGATGTTCTTCTTGCTGCAGCCTGGGAGAAGGAGGACACCAGTTTGGCAGAGCTGATCAGGTTGGCATGGCAAGGGCATGATGGAAAAGGGAGAAGCATGAGGTGAGGAGCTGCTGCTGCCACCTCTGCTAGAAGGAACCTCCGAGTTCCTTCTTTCTCTTCTTTGGCCAAGAGCAGATTTGACCACAGAATGAGAATTGCTCAGCACTGCCTGGCTCCAGGCACCAACCAGTGTGGGAGAGGAACCTCACACAGCCTGACATGGGCTGAAGCCTCTGAAGTCTGCTCAGCAGCCAGTGACTTAACTGTGACATTCTGGTCACATTTCCTGCCCACTTTATGGTATTTCAACAGCTCATTTAACATAGAAAAGTTGTGCCTTATTTCAAACATGTGTTGCTACATGCAGGCGAGCCTTCTGCTGACGTAGAGTTCTGGCAATTTGTCTAGAAACTTAGTATTTGGCTCCCAGAGTGGAATGCCAAAATGTAGGCATCGTCTCTGTACATGCCTCTAACCCATTTAGTCATCCTGAGCTCATTTTACAATCAGCTGAGAAAAAATTCCTAAGGTAAAGTACATATTTTCCTAGTGTAGGCATCTAAAGCAAGTCAAATGAATCAATTCCAGTGTTGAAATAAATTGAACATTTCTATTGATGGAGACAAGGATCTTGCTGTGACTTTTTAGAATATGTGGGAGACACACAAGGGCACAAGCCTGAATCCACAATTTAGTTTTGATGACCTCTTGCACTCACTCTATGACATCTTCATTCTGATGAACTGGGTGGAATCATGGTTGTTTCCCATTTGGAAGGTTTGCCAGAATGCAAGCAAATTCTACAGATTTTCTTTCCTTGATATGTATGCTATGGAACCAATTGATTACGGGAAAAGTGAGGAGAAAAGCAAAACTAAATCTGTGAAACTCCATTTTTTTAAAGACATGAATGTATTTTTTTTTACCATATGACCTTCCAAGTCTCTAAACTGGTTTGCTTAGAGAGAGCAGCAAATAATTATTTGCTTAGCAAAGCAATTGCCACATCATGTTTTCTGTACTGTCATATATAATTATTGAAGTAGAATGCCTCAGGTGACATCAGTGACAGATTGGTTTCTTTACGCTGATGGTTTTGCAAGACTGTGAGTAAAATATTGTAATAGTAATTAATGGTTTGAAATTTTGTAGTGCTGTAAAACGTTCATCACTCCGTGCTAACATAAAAGTCAGCAATATCATCGTATCCAATAGTGCAAAATTTCCTTGTGTAAGCAGGAAACCACTGAGAACTTTGTCCACAATGTAATTTCTCCTGATGTTTATCTTAAATTTAAATCTTTGTTTAATTTGTCTTAGTGACCCATATGATTGGGTAGATAATGTAATTATACAATTAATGGTATTTCAATTAATTAGAAATCCCAGAAGTTTAGATAACAACCTGTGACTTGGTACTGGCTTTCATAAATATCTTAGCATTTCTCTTGCAAGCTGCTTTATTATGAATACTGTGTTACAAATGCATGCACAAACTGACAAATGCCACTGAGAAATAGTATTTCTAATTAAGAGGACTTGTATTATGTTGTAAAATTAGTTACTAAGTTCCCTTTCTGATGCATAGAAACTTAATTAGTATAGTCTCCCTTCAGTGAGTAAAGTCATTAAACCAGTGTAATGGAGTGAAGAATCAACTTTTATACCTAAAAAGTGTGTTTTTCCCTGAAATCTCAGTACCAATGAAAGTCCCAGTATCGTGAATTCTTTATGAATCCCTGATTTTCTTATTATCTAAACTATTATAAACTATTCTGTGATTCTAAAGCTACTGTATTATTTTATAAAATCACATGTAACTAAAAAGAAAATAATAGAAAGATAGTAGAAATCCTGAAGTGAATATTTGTATGTTTTTCTGATATTCTGCTTTCAGAATTTGTGTTGTTACCACATTGGTCTTCCACACTTCTCACTTACCATATGGACACGTTAAGAAGAGACACAAGCACAGGAACAAATCTCGTGGGAGTTTTTGGGTCTGGGTGGGCTCTGGGCTCCTGTGTGGAAATGATTCTTGCTTGGGAGGCAGGACAGGCATCCCAGGGAGGGAGGCTTTGAGCCTTTTCCACTCTGAAAATTCTTGTCAACATTGCTTTGGTGTTACCTCCAAGTTCCTGTCTCTCACTCACAGAATGATGTGTGATGCGTTTATTATCCTTTTCAAAATCTTGTTTTGCAGCCCTATTTAATGAAAAATAATTTGACCAACATATTTGTGTGTATTTTATTTCTGTGATCTTCAGCAATGCCTTGGGGCAAATAAGATCATGTAAAGGAAAATTGAAACCACGCTTTGGTTGATTTGGTGCGTGGAAGGCTTCTGAAAGCGAGTGGCTACGGCAGTAGCACAGCTGTGCTGTGAGGAGTGCCAGGGTGCTGCTCTGGGGCTGTGAACAGCTGGGTTTGTTTACTAGTGGTGCTCTCCTGCTAGAGGACAAGCAGTTACAAAAGTCGTAATAAATGTCACTGGAGCACAACAGAAACTATGGAGATAGAGACACTACATTGTGTCGGTTCCTTCTGTGCCCAGAGGCTTCAGTTTAGCCAGACCAAAGAGTTACAAGAGTGAATCTGTTGTTTGACATGATGCAGACTGTCTTCCCTTCATTCCAGGTGTTCCATCCCAGCTGTGAAGTATCCTTTTGGGAGATTTAGCTTACCCTGTTATATCTTAATGACATAAAGTAATCTGTGGATATCCCTCATAAGATTTATTTTTTCCAAGTGTTATGAGACAGAAATACAACTACCAGACCTTATTTATTTAGGTTTTCTTTTTATGCCTGAGTTTGTGAGGAAGAGACCAACTTAAAAAAACCCAAAATATTAAATAAAAATAAATAAAACTTACTTAAAAATAGGCAAGTACATTAAGAGTAACCTCCTTTTTTTCGAATTTAATCCAGTCTCAGCTCATGACTCTTTAAATTTCAGAACTGAAATAAATCCATTTTACTAGACAGTTATTTTTAACTGTTACTAAAACTTGTTCTTCTTTCTCATAGATTGTTAAAAAATACAGACTTATTAATATTAGATGTAACATCTGTAACTTCTCAGTGAAGGTAGTGCTAGTCAAATTCAGTGTTCTTTAAAAATATTTGGTATGAGCACGCCTTGAAGGCTAGGCAATTACATGGGTAAAGTAAACAAAGCTGCAGTTTGGACAGATGTGATCCCTAGGTTGTCATTAAACCTATTCTTAGGAACTGTGAGAGAGGAAAAGGTAAACAGCACTCTGTTTGACTGCTATTGTAATGTTTAATCTCCGTGTAAAATGGCTTTCTCTTTTGGAGACATTTGATACGACAAAAACCTTGTTCTCTACTAACCAGCAAAATTAAATTGAGTTCCTTTAATATCCTTTAATATCTCTGTTCTTTGACATTTCATTACTTTGTTGATGCTGCCCTGCCTTTTTTGCTGAGGTGGGAGTCAGTAGATTAAAGGTAATTGAAAAATGGATCAGATTAGCTATTGGAGAATAATTCTGGATTTGATAATCATACATAATCAGTCTGCTACACCAATACAACACTATCCAAAGGCTGCAAGAATTATCTATTTAACTTGACATAATTAATCACAGCTTATTGAATAATTAAATGTCACTGTAAAGTTAAATTTTTTTAAAATGATGCAACACTGTAAACAAGACATAATATCTACTGAAATTAGTATACTTGTGCCCCCAGTGTCAGACTTGAAATTTTATTTTCAAGGAGCAAAGTTAATATTAAAATACATAATTAAGGCTAATGCAGCATAATTTCAGCTGAGTTCATCATCGTGACAAGAAAGAGTAAATCTTCACTGTAAAATGTGAAGTATTTTACTGGGAGATAGAGGGATTTGATTCTTACTGTCCTTTGATGCCA